AAAGTCATCTTACTTTTAAGCACACAGGTGCAATAAGCTTTCTACAGAGATGAGCAAGGAATAAAGGAGCAGAAGGATTCCCTCACAGCAATGTACAGGTTTGCCACCAGCGATACACAGACCAGCACAGAGTTATGAGCCACTGCAGCTCCCTCCCAGGAATGGTGATGTTACAGGACGATTACAGGTGTATAGAATGTGGCAAGTCTTGGTCAAACAGTAGAAGTGCTCACCTTGCGACACACACCCCCTTCAGCTGGGGACATGCTGAAATGCAGACACTCGATACCCCGGGTTGTGATTCACACCAAGGGTAGGCGTGTGGGTGGGTGCTTCAGTCCCTGCTGACAGGGTTGTTTTAGGGAAAATAAAGAAAATAGCCAGGGAGGTAGAGAACACAGGAGGCTCCACTTTTTGTGTGCCTCTGAAAGGTGATTAGACATACAGGGAATTTTGGGTGTGGTGTGACCAATCCCCTCAGGGACTCGAGGAGTAGATCGCCTGCCTTCCAACCTCATGAGACATGGGGCAAGGTTGATGCCGAACTATTCAAACCTGTTGCGATCAGGATGTACCTACATTTGTCTACAAATATTTCAGGAACTTTCAGGTCAAGACCTGTGCTGCTGCAAGGAGGTAAACATTTCCAGAGTTAAGTGGCTGCAGAATAAAGGGGTGGCATTTCAGAGTGGGGCTCAGCTGTCCCTCTTCACACCCCTTCATCCTTTAATTCACATTTGGATCTGGTCTTATGTCACTTCGGGCAATGGTTTCTCCAACAGCGCCTAGCTTTTCAGCAGTAGCATTTTGAAAAATCATCATATTCTCCAGTTGTGCTGGAGATGGTCATTATCTCAACCCCAACAGGCAGAATTTTGCTGGGCTTTTTTTTCAGAACACAGGCAAGGTTGTTCTTTCCTGGGAAACAAAGAGCCTTCATTTTAGATGACAGCAAACAAATGTTAGTTTGTCAGCAAGTATATCCTGGATTTATTTAATATTAAGAGAGCTATGTGGAATACCATCACCTTAGGTACGTTTGAAATTAGGAAAGGCAAGAGCCTTCCCAGGCAACAGAAGTTTCAGAGAGCAAGATCCAGGTGCTGGAAAAATCAAGTATTTGTATAAAACTTTGCTGCTGGCAGCCTGGAGGAAAGAAGTCACAGCATCACATCTATGCCAGTCTTAATAAAGGTGCATGAGCTCTTCCTCCATCTGCCTTTGGTGACAGGCAAAGGGATCACACTCACGCCACGCAGCTGCCTGCTCTGATCACCTCCCATCTCTCCTGCTGGAGTTCCAGCTGCAGCAGGAGAGCTGAAGCTATCGGCACACATCCATTTGCTGAAGAGGCTGAACTGCTCTTCAGTTCTTTATCTGCATCTCAACAGACAACTCTACGTGCTGAACATCCCGTTCCAACATCAACCAGTCTCTGGCCACGGTCTGCAAGCACCTGGTTTTGGAACTTTCCCACTCTGCACCCAAGCAGCTCTGTATGTCTTTTCCTGCAGCTTTGGGACATAAAAAATGAGGGGTTCAGGGGTTCATCGTGGCATCATAAGAAATGAATCATAACCTTACCCATGGTACTTTCCCAAGTACTTCCAAGGTACTTTCCCAGTTTGTCTCCAGCTGAAGATAATCCAGCTGGGTACAAGACTCCTATAAACACTTGAAAAACAGCACCATAAATTCCCACTATGGCAAATTCAAAGTTCCCATTTGTTTAAACAAATTGGATCTAGCCAAAATAAGTGTGCTGTTCATTTCTCTTGCTATTCCCTAAGTGGCCATACAAATCTGAACACATTGAAAGAAAAAAAAAGTTTCACAAATTAGCTGAATCTTCAAAATAGTTTCAAAATCGTTTAGTCCCAACAGAGAATTTCTACTTATCTCATCTGAAAGACTAAAGCATAACAGATAATGCAAGTACCTAACAACCACTCTAAATTCAAGGGAGGACAAAGTTGAAGCTATGTTCCCTGCACAGGAGCCATGAAAAAAATTCAGCACCAGAACAGGTCAGACACATAAATAACTGTGATAGCTCCTACACAGAGAAGAGAGTTACAAAGAGAAATTCTGATATGGAACACAATGGCTTTATCACAGCTCCCAAATTCTTCATTGACTTTTTAAACAAACAACATCAAGGCATACCTACAAGCGATGACACAAATTCTTTGCAAACCATAAGATCTGGGACAGCAACACAGAGACATACACAGCTTTTGTTCTTATCTTACCTCCAGCAAGACTGAAGCACAGACCAGAGGCTGCAGTCTGTCTCCACCACGGAAGGAGACACACCCTGGAATTTAAGGTCAGTGCTACAACCCCAGTCTGAAATATTCTCAACCACATTAACTTCAAATTCTTGGAAGCCTATGATATGGTCAGTGTTGAGATGGATTCTCTCTTCCAGGCACCAGAGAGATATAACTCCATTGACAAATTAAAAAGGCATAAATGAAAGGATAAAGAGTTATCATCAGCCATGAAATCCCCTCTTCTCAAGGGCCTGGGACTGCATCAAGACTTTCAACTGGACAAGTAAGACATGTAAAATCCTTAATAAAGCAGGCAGAATAAATTGCAAACTGAGAGACAAATACGTAAGTAGAAAGTGGTTTCATCAGTTTATTGCTTTTCACAACCTGAACTTTGCTGCCATTTCATGGATGGTTGAGTCTGTGCAGGCATATTCAATGAAGTATATACTACCACAGAGAACAATGTTTTATCACAAGCCATAAAACTGGTGGGAAAACAATCTAACCCTACATCAACATAATTTGAGAATTTGACAGTAAATACAGCATCTCCAAAACACTATTGGCATTTACATTAATCAACTGACTACTTTTAAGTTACTGAATAAAGCAAACTGGTGAGGGACCAAGTGCTCTGAAACACGTACTTTCAGTGTATTCAGGATGTGCTCCCAACACACACGTTCTGAAATCTTCCAAAATTTCACTAATACCAAATGAAATTAAGATACTTTGCTTCCAGTTTAAATACCAGGAGAAAATAACTAGCACATTTTAATATATTAACTAAAAGATTCTCTGTATAAAACTCTTCACACATGAAATGTTTTTAAATTAAACATTATTATACTTACAAGAAAAACATAGATTAGAAATTTATTGCTAGTACAAAAATTAATGTTTCACAGAGGAGGAGAAGTTAGATTAGTATTATTGCTATAAACACAAACAGTGCCAGAGACAAGAATCTGATTTTCAAATTTGTTCACCATCCACAACTGGCTGACAAGGACACGCAGATACCTGGGACTTACGAAAGATGAGGTCCACAACTTTCTTCAGAGTTATGTTTTATGATCTGATGTTATTTTATTGCCTTTTAGTATAACTGCGAGAATCAGCCTGCTGCTCCTGCGTTCTAACATTATCATTCATTAGATCTTCTCTTCATGGAAAAAAAAACAAAAATAAAAAACCCAACCACCCTAATCTTGCTTTCCCACATTAGTATTTTGAAAATTTAAAACTACAGCTACATTCATACCTTTGTCCATAACAAAAAAAAAAAGTGGGAATGTTCACCATGTGCAGAGTCCATGACTATGAATAACATTCCTAGGCCAACCTTTGATCAATTTGCTAACAAGCTTTCATCCCCAAAGAAAGCATTTTTCACATACTGTAGATTATCACCACTACTCAGTGCAAACATAGTCATACCTACTACTCTACTAGTAAAAAAATGAAAACGAACATCAAAACCTGCTTACAGACCTGCACAGTCCAGTTTCTTTGCAATGCACTGATTTCCAGTCACAAGAATATATATCTATAGCTTTTTTAAAAATAAAAAAAAAAGTAACCTCTTTTCAGCAGTTATCTAGCTTGCTACTAGATCACACTACTTTCTCAAAGTGATTTTCTTCTTAACTAACACACACTCACCCAATTGCTGACTTAAAAGCTGATCCGGGAAAACCAACAACTCTACCTCTCCCTTCAATTAAATAGTCGGCACTAGAGTTCATAGGGGTTATCATCATTCTAAACTATGAAGGTTAAGGTATCTGTAGTTAATTACTTAAGGATCATAAAGTAAACCAATGGAAATTTTAACCTAGTCATAGATTCTATTATTGCTAAATGGAAGATTCATACAAACCAGTGTTTTATAGAACCAGCAATTCTCAAGTCACTCAAAAAAAAAAAGAAAACAAACCCCAAAAGGGCAGATTTTGTATTAATGCCACTTCTTTAATTCGGGTAGCTGAACTGCAAATCAACTAGTTAGAAATATTTACCTGGGTCTTAAGGAATGGAAATGACAAACGATCTGGTTTGGGTGAAAGTCTCCTACTGGCTAAATCCTCTTAGAGTGTGCCCTGGGCCCAAACATGCCTCATGATAAAGCAGGATTCTAACCCAGTACATTAATGCATCAATGATTTTAGTATCAATCATGAATGCCAAAGTACTTACTATTCACTTGTTGCCACAACAGTTCCTTTTCCTTCACTCCTACATTCCTCCATCACTCCCAAAAAAATATCAGCACAAAAACCAGAAAGAATATAAATATTTGAGGGGGAAACACAACACGCAAGTTGCAAGAAATGCGAGACTTGAGAAGCATATGCCTTTCTTTTCATGGCATGCATGAAAAGGAGTCATACACCAAGAACTGGATTGACAAAGACAGTAGTTCAGTGGAAAATAACTCTTGTATGCTGTTAGACAACTCAGGCTAGTGTTGTGCGTACCATATACATCCGAAAACAAAAACTCTGCTTTTCTTCAGAATACTTAAAACATTAAATATTTTAAATGCATCTCTTTCAACTCCAAGTTGTATTTACACAGTTATTCACAAAAATGTGCAAAGTAAAGTCTGACATCAAAATAAATTTAAAAGTCCAACAAATTGAACTTGACATTTAAAAAGGCAGCAGAGATTCCAAGTCCATTTTATACACACTTTAAAGAACTACTTAAGACAGTGAAAAGGTTGTTCCAGCTCAATCCCTGGGCATTTAACAAATCCAAACCATGCCGCACTTCAATCACTAGCTGTCTTTGACGCAGAATTCACAAAGTATCCCACCAGTGAGGTCTTTGACAATTTTTTCTTTGATCAGTTTCTGCAGGAATTTTGTTTCGCTTGTCACATTGTGCATAGTTTGTCCGTTCATGGCAGCCATGCAGAGGTTGTTGTAATAGTGCAAAGGTGTGCTGGGTTGATCGAGGTCATATCCAAATCCTGCTAAGCTCACTTCATCACATAAATGTGTGGCCAGAACAACTGCTGTGACCCCAATTGTTGGTACATTCTAAAAAAGGGGGAAAAATGAAGCCTGCTGAATTCAAAGATTCTCCTTTGTCAGTTTTTATAAACACTTTACAAAATTTAATGGCTTTGTCCATTTCCTCTCTTTACTTAAAACTGAAATCAATTACAACTAAAACTAAAAATCAATTAAATGATCAAGTAAAACTAAAAACTTCAGGGCCAAATACTAATGCAACTTGAGTATTTGCCTTTAACAAGACTTTTGGCTGTCAACACTAAAATTTTGTGTGAAGGCAAGATGCCCTATTACTATGTAGTCAAACTGCAAGTGAACCCTCGCTCCAAACACCCAAACAACTCCTGACATGCAGTTAAACTTGAAATTTCTTGATGTATGCTTACTTCAGCCTTGAACAACAGGCTAGCAGTATTCTTCAGAATATGACTTTTCACTGAACAACCTGTGAAGAAGGCAAGTATACTATGATACAACTAAAAGATACATAGCTTGGTATGTTATGTTATTTTAATAAATAGATGTGAGAAGTTCTTTCAAACATTTGTGCAATAATGCTAGCATTAAATGCTTTCACACAAGGTAAAAAGACAATAGTTATTCGGTATTTGTCATAGTTCAAGAGAACTGGTGACATCCAATTTCTCAAATAGTTAAAGTAACAAAAATGCAGCGTGCAATTGAACTGGGCAATTCATCACTCTGTACTATTGCTGGAGTGAAGGACATAGAGGGAGGAAATACCCATCAGTTGCTATTGAGCACACTGCCATACATAGCAATTCCAACAGCTGGAAGGTTGCTTTACACTGGCCTGGTTTCCATACTCTCTCTGCTTTCCTTGCAGCTGGAAACACATCTGTCTATAGCTGATTGCTGGTTTGACTTAACAGGGCTGCTCTTAACACGCTTAACATACATCAAATGTGTGTTTTGAGTATTTAACATCAGTCACAATGATGTGCGAGTGAACACACTGTACTGGAATGAATTTATGTCTCACTGCATCTGAATGCTTTGTAAAACAGGCCATCTCATGTCAGCATGCACAGGCATATCACCTCCTCTGACAAGGTGAGCTGAAATCCTACTTTGATTTTACACAAGAAAATACAAGTCTTTTGAGAGTGCATTAATTTCCCTATTATTTGAGACCAGCTCTGAAACTGCACAGAGAAACTATACTGAAGGAGGAACCCAAAATTTTCTTCAGTTTCTTCTTTTACTTTGTATTTTATAGTCTCCTTCTCCTAAAAGGAAACTTCTTACCTTATCCCAACCCCAGAATTTTGATCGAGGTTCAGGGAACTGTAAAATGTCCAAAGCTGTCTCTTTGATGATGACTGGATTCAGAATCCGAAACTGCTTTGATGTAAAAGGAATTTTCTCAGCAACCTCCTTCCAAAAGAAGAGTCGCACCCACAGAGGCTAAGAGAAAAAAAAAAAAATAGTTCAGCAAAGGGAAACTCCGAGACTGCAAAGTGTATGACAGATACAGTACAAAAGTTACAGAATTCACCAGTGATTCCGAGAAACTCAGGAAACAGTTTATAGCTAAGGTGGTTCAGGAATACCAGCGTACAGCTCAAGCGACTGGCCCAAGAGAGGAAAAACCTTCAAAGTATTTGGAATTGCAGAGAGGACAGCAGAGGGGGAAAGTTGTTTATTCTCAGAATTTGACTGCACTTTGTGTTTAGTCAGTCAACATACCCACCAGCACCTCCAGGTTTTTTGGACCTTCCCCAGCACAACTCAGCAGGCAGCAGTATTTATAGAAATGGGAAAGGGAACCAGAGTTTTCCATGAACATTAACCAGGAATTCTAAAGCAAGCACTGGATTTAAAACAATTTTGCTCAGGCTTTGAAGTGAACAGCTGTTGTTTGACAGCATCCACCTAGTGATAAAAGTAACACTTCAGAGGAAGATTTAAACAAGACCCAGCAAGCTCTATTTTGATCTCATGCCACTTGCAGTCAATTAGATGCATGCTAATAGAAAAAAACAATACTAAATCAGGCTCATTTTACACATCTTTCCATATAATGCGTAACACTTAGCAAATGATAAAACTGATATAGCTGCAACATAGACCTACATTTTTTTAAACAGGTTTTATGGTACAACTCTACAGCAGCTTAAACTGATCACACCTAGGCTGCTATGGTCCCGTCTTCCCATCCATGCTCTGAATCAGTTTACTGAAGTACCAATGTCTGCACAGAGAGCTGATCCAACTGAAAGCCTAGTATTTGAAAGGAGAAGTATGTTCTCAGTTCACACTATCACAGAGTGGTTAAGGTTGGCAGGGACCTCTGGATGTCAAGTTGTCCAACCCCCCTGCTCAAGCAGGGCCAACTACAGCCGGTTGCCCAGGACCGTGTCCAGACAGCTTTTGAGTATCTCCAAGGATGGAGAGTCCACAGTCTCCCTGGGAAACCTGTGCCAGTGCTCGGTAACCCTCACATTAAAAAAGTGTTTCCTGATGTTCAGAGGGACCCTCCTGTGGTTTAGTTCGTGTCCGTTGCCTCTGGTCCTGGCACCATGCACCGCCAAAAAGAGGTTGGCTCCATCCTCTTTGGAGTCTCCCCTCAGGTATTTATGCACATTAATAAGATTTCCCCCTGAGCCTTCTCTTCTCTAGGCTAAAACAGTCCCATCTCTCTCAGCCTTTTCTCATAGGAGAGATGCTCCAGTCCCTTAAGCATCTTCATGGCCCTTCAGTGGACTCTCTCCAGTATGCCCATTCCCACATAAATTCCCAAAACTGGCTCTCTGCATCAGCAACAACACCAGAGCAAGGAAGAAGGAGGGAACGAGCAGATCTGCTCCTAAGCCATGCAAAACAAGAAAAGGTACTCTTTTCATAAAGCACATACTTCAGTCTTGTAACTCACTAACAGAGGGTGTTGCAGATACCAAGAAGCAATCACTCTTTCAACCCCCCCCCCGAAACAAATTTTAATACAGAAAGCCATCCTTGTACTAGTCATTCTTCAAAACCAAACCTTAAAACATGAAATAGCCAGATGGCTTGTAAAACAATTAAGTTAGGGATTCAACTCAAGTTAGAAAGCTGCTGGTCATCAAAATTACCACACTGCTGCAGGGAAGGTCATAGACCAACATTGTCTTGTCCCTGGTAAAAAAAAATCAGGGAGCAGAAGATCTTAAGTTTGCGCAAATTCATGTATTCAGGAAAATCTCTCTTCTACAAAATATACTCAGATTATTCAAAACAAGGAAATATTGCTGTACACATTCTCTGGACTAAAGTAGTAGTGGACAGTCATGGTAAATATTAAACAGACCTTCCGTACGCTCTCATGTTGTAAAAAAAAATCACAGAATTAAGAAGGCAACTTGGCCTACCTAAACTAGTATGTATCAAACTTAAAAAACTTGACAGATTTTGTTCTAAATCCCTCAATAATTTAGAGCATTTGTTTTCAATCTGTGGTCAGAGAAACCTAGCTGCTGGTTTTCAACTTGCAGAAATTATCTGCTTGCAAATTGAAAGAGGTGAAAACCACCAATTTAAAGTGAGTTCAGAAACATGGAACCCTTCCATCAGTTCCTTAGGAATCTCTGCGCTTCTTTAAATACTCAGTGAGAAATAAACCATCTCTTAATTTTGGAACTACAGACAAACGTGAACTAAAAACTGCGATGCTTCAATTACACATTAAATGCATGTACGCCTATTGTAGCAGCACAGACTTTAGATGTTAAAAAAAAAAATGGACTGGCATCCAAAAATTTCCTTTCTATTTCAGGCTCTGCAGACTTGAACAAGTCACTTGAACCCAATGTGAAATTAATTCCACTTTAGTAAACATTCAATATGTCATGCAGCTTGGTGCAGACCACCAATATCTGCAGAAAAAAAAAAGTGTTACTGTCAGCATGGGGCTTCAACATGAATGCTGGTACCAACTGTAACTAGGAGACAGAGCTAAAAAAACGCCACGAAGTTACATAAAAGATCCTCAGTATAATAAAAGAGGAAGTAACAGATCAGTCAGCTTCTTAAGCATTAGAGAAGAAAAAACCAAACAAAAATCACAGGTACATAATACTGCCACATTACATACCAAGGTTTCATTTTTTAAAATTGCTTGAAGCCAATTGAAATCAACACTTTTAAACAAAACAGCCACAAACAAGCTAGCAGGAGGATATTCGTGTTCAGAAAGGGGGGCTCCTTCTGGGTAAGTCATCCGTATAGTAGTTTTGTTACCAACGTGATCTGTGTATCCTTGAACTGGTGCATCATTTAACCTAACAAAAAAAAAAACAACACACACACAACAAAACAAACCACAATGGAGAGAAACTGTATTTAACAAGCACAGTATACAATCTCTTTAAACCATCAGACACTAAGCAACAAACTTGTATTTGGCCCACGGATTTTTAACAGAGCGGAGTACAGTGTTTTCTCAGTATCTCATGTTCCTCGCCTCACACACTCATCCATCCATTATCTTTGAGAGGAAGCCAATTCTATTTCTAGATTAACTGGCACAAGTGCAAAACGTCAAAAAGAAAAGCTTCGATAGAAGAGGAACTTAAAACAGCACTGCAGAATTTCATTGCCTTGTGCCAACTCAGAGAGGCTTAAAAGAGGAAGGGAAAGAAAACACATGGGAAGTTGTCTGTATTATCTTTATATAT